ATTAATTAATCACTAATGATAATAATCCCCCGCCAATTTATAGTTTTGTCCTAAAGTTAACGGGGTTTAATCGAAAAATGATTGAGGCACAAGATACAGAATAAGTCAGGCAGCGCCATCTAAAAGAAAACAAATGATTAAGCACTTTTGAATTTTAAAACTAGTTTAGTCCAAAATACGGTTTACAATACTTGCAACATCATATAAAAGACACTAAGCTTAATTGACTTATTGCGACTATAATGACCTTAAGCCATTTCCTAACGTTCTAAACCGATTGTTAAAGGCCTAACAACTATTCCCAAAAATTATTTAATTTCATTTGAATCGTTATAAAAATTGGAGAAAATAAAAGAAACTTATTTCGCATCGCTTACATTTGTAGCTTTTGCCGCTTATGAGATTCTGATTCTGACATTCTAGGGAAAATACAAGAAAAATAGAACCAATGAAAAAATAATTTTTTTTTGTTATTTGTCAGGTACTGATAACAATAATTGCAGAAAGAAAAAAAAAATAACTCAACTAATTGACTTCGAGCATAAATAATGTGCTCTTAAAATATTTTAAAACAAACTTCAATTCTAAAATCAGACACGTCACGATTCTATTTTCAACGGGGACCGACTCGAATCCCGGAAAAAAATTAATTGGTATTACCGATTACTTTAATATTACATAAGAATTTAAAATCATGGATTATTTGAAACTCGACTTTAAACATAAAAACAATAATTATAAAGTTATGTTTAAAAAATCATCATTCATAATTAAAAATAAAATAACGTCAATTAATTAGCGTTAAATTAGCAGCGCACGAAATTTCATTAGCCTTAATTTCTAGCATTGAAAAGTTTATCCGGTGCCAGGAGCTCGGGAATTTTAGCGGTGTGTTCAAAGATCTGTAAACTGGTTTTTCTGTACCGGTTATCTTAACAGAAAAAAAAATATTTAAGTATAAGTTTTTTTATATTTAACTTTAATAGATCATCCAGACCATATTTTTAAAATCCGGAAAATTGTTTGGGTAAAATATCCGGAAAAAATTCGAAATATATTTCCCTCTTAATTTTGCTTTTAACTGAATTGTTTTATAATCTTTTTTTTTAACTTTTCTTAGTTTTGAGTGATGATTGAAAAAAGCTTAAAAAAAAAGAAGAATATTACAAAAATATACAGCTAAACTTGTATGTATGGAAAACGTTTTGGATATCCGGAAAAACTTAAGTTAAGAAAGATATCCGGGATTCCGGAAATATCCGGAAAAAGATAATCGCTAAAGTTTAAATACAATAAAAATCTTTTTTAATGGTACTTAGGTAAGATTTTGAGCATGGTGAAAATTATAAATTGGGTTCAGTCTAATGTACAATCGAGTTAAAAAACCTAACCATTTTAAGTTTCCGAATCCTTCATAACAAGGGGGTTGTAAATTTTATGGTCATAACTTTGGAACGCGAAAAGATAATTTATATAAAAATTAAAAGCTACTGACGAGTTTAAATTTAGTATAAGAGTCAACCAAAAATATTTTATTAACTCATTACTTTCATATTTGAGCTAGGTGAGGTATTTTTGCTCCCAGGCTCCAATTACTGCGATTTTTTTAAATTTAAGTTATGGGAAAATTAATAGAGATCCTTTCTTCAAAATACTAACTGAACATTAATAAATGCAAATATAATTGAGTACAAAAATATTCATTAAAAACGGAGATATTTTTAAAAGCACAAAGGATTACTAACAAAGGCGATGCTTATAACTAGATAATTTGACAAATATTTACAAAACATAGATAAGTTGTTAATTCCATTTAATCCTATCAATCGAAAGTTTTAACGATTTTTTAAAATGAGTTTTTATAAACGAATTCTTCTGTCACTTGCATATAAAATTTTAATTTTGTAACATATAAAGTCATATATCATTTTCAGTCTTTCTTTTAGATTTCAAAATTGAAAATTTAACAAATACTGAAAATTATTTAATTAACTAAAAAAGTTAAAAAAGCTTAACAAACTTTATTTTGATAAGCTATAAAAATCACAATTTAAATAAGATAATATAAAGTCTTTATATAATGTTGCGAAACAGCATAAAACTATTATTTAAAAAAAATATTTATATAGTCATTTAAAAGAAACAAAACAAAAATAATAATATATATACATAATAAAATATTATTTTTTTTGTCGACAGGTTGGACAATACCAGACCTTTGTTTTTGGTAAATTTTTTAGTTTTAGGCAGGTTAGATGAAACCATTGATCACAACAATCACAACCTACCATATCCCAATTACTGTTGGATTTTTTACAAATGCAAAATACTTCTCCTTCTTTTTGTTGTTCAACAGTTTTAACATCTGTGATTTCCAACTTTCTTGTCATTAGTTCTGGTAAGATCACATTTTTCCAGAATTTTGTACTTTTGGTGATCATCTCATTCACAAAATAAGGATCACGTTCAATTCGAAAAAATAAAAAATCAATTGGAGTCCAGACAACAAAATCACAATAATGCAAGTCTAATATGAACATTCCATGTTGTACCTGACTAAAATATGGATGCGTTCTTTCCAACATGAAACCATTATTACTTTTTTTTACATAAAAATTTTTATCATCTATCGAAGAAGTCAATCCAATATCTTTAAGGCTGTAAGGACATTTCACCTCAACAACTCCGTACCCACAGCATGAACAATGTACAACACCATCAGGAGACACACCCAGCCATGGTTTCTCTTGTGAAACTACAAAACCAAAGGTTTTTACTTCAACAAGATTGTGAATCATGACTACTGACAGGCAAAGGGATTCACTCATGCATGTGTCATCAGAACTGATATTTACATACTCAGCTAATGCAAATTCTTCATTTTCACGTCCCCATATTAATGAAGGTGTATTACTTTTACAAAAATTTGGTTTTGTAAGTTTCCTAACTAAAGACTTAGGTGGATTTTCAATAGAAGCTTTCAAAACATCATGCATAACAGACCCAGTTATACGACCACACCTGTGTTCATACCAAGAAATGGAAGACGACTGATTTCTAGTTACTTCCTCCAGGTATTTAAGTTGCTGAGTGGTAATTGACAGCGAGTTAAAAAGTTTTTCTGCTTCAATTGATAAATTTTCCTTACTGAGGTTGGCATATGATGGGAGATACAGACTCCTTAGTGTTTTTGGCAATCTGGCTGGCTCATAATTTTGAAAAGAGACAAAAGGCTTTTGGAAACCTTCAAACAATGATAATGCTACAACTTTAGGATTGTTCTTCTTTATTGATTCAAGGAAACGAGTCTGATGTTCTTCATTTAGCTGTTAAGGAAAAATATTTTTTATTTTTTTAAGTTTTATTAACAGATTAAAAGCTGATTTTATTAAACCATTTTAAATTATGTGAAGTTAATTTATGTGAAGAATTATGTAAAGTTAAATGTTTCACTTCAACTAATACAAAAAATAAAAAAGGATGTCAATAAAATAATATTAAAGTAACTGTGGATTTTACAAGGTAAATTTTAATCTCATTAACTAGATATTAAATAGTGGCTAAAATAAGAAATTGTTTACTCTAACAGTTAATGATGCAGTTGATATGTTTGATCGTATTTTTTGTTTTGCATCAGCACTGTAAAAAATTATCTCAGATATTGGAGCAGGATTAACATCTTTTGTAAAATTTTGATTCCATTTACAAGGGACATCTGTGCAAGATTTTGATGTCAAACCCAAACGAACTGCTGCTTCTAATTTATATAAAACAGCTGCAACATGAGAGCAGGTTTCACCAAGTCTATAAAAAAGTAAGAAATATCTGAAAAATATTAATTTTCGAATAATTACAAAAAAATAATTTTTATTGCATTGTCCCTTTTTTAAGTTTATCTCATTGGTTACAAATTAAATTTTGTGAAACATTTACATGCCACATACACATTAGTTATTATGTATATCTTTAACCCATATAATCCAACATAAGACTAGAAAGTTGTATGGGAAAAAGTTAAAAAAAAAATTAATTTAACTCACCCTGCCATGCAGTTACAGTGACTTAAGATGATTGATCCTTTGTTGTTAACAGCAATCCACGGTGTATGAGTTGGGTCGTTTGTTCTGTAAGATGGTTTAACTTCTGCTTTAAAAATAACAAAACCTGAGCTCAATATCATATGTAAAACTTCTTGCACCCAACCAGAGACAAAATACTTATAAGCATCTAATGCTTTGTAATTATCCATAGCCTCAGGAGAAAAGATTTTAGGACTTTTTATTAGATAATGATATACATCATGGTATTGAACAGATGGCCATTCTGTTGGGTCATCTTTCCAAGCATCTGCAGGGAATTTGTACGGACATTGATTAATTCCAAGGATCGCAAGTTTGTTTTTGTACCTTTCTGCAGCGTTAAAATCTAATTTTTCGAAGTATTCATAAATTGACATATCTTTTTTCAAACTTCAAAACTTATATTTACATACGATTTCTAAATTAGTTTCCCCTTTCCAAGATGGTAACTAATCGCGCCATTAAAATTGCGCATAATCACGTGACTTTCCGACTGCGTCCATATTTAGCCTGAAAATATTAAACACTTGTATATATATATATATATATATATATATATATATATATATATATATATATATATATATATATATATATATATATATATATATATATATATATATATATATATATATATATATATATATATATATATATATATATATATATATATATATATATATATATATATATATATATATATATATATATATATATATATATATATATATATATATATATATATATATATATATATATATATATATATATATATATATATATATATATATATATATATATATATATATATATATATATATATATGGAGTATTATATTCTATACATATATATAATATATATATATGACGAGTGTTTAATATTTTATATATTCAATATATAAAATATGAATAAATCTATTGCGGCGGTAAATACCGCCACTTGAAGGTGAGAAATTTGCTAGAGTGGCGGTAATTTATTAGGATGAGGCAAGCGACTTAAAACGAGGCAAAACTCGGTGAAACACAAATTTAAAACTTATCATCAACATTTTAAAATTAAAAAAAGAAAATGGAGTTACATAAGGGACAATGCTTCCAAACAGCAGCTGAAGCACAAGAATTTATTGCACAGTTTGCAAAAGCTCATTGGCATCCTCTGCGTCAAAGAAATAGTGTAACAGTTGTGTCTTATAATAAGAAAGTAAGTGTTTTTTGAAAAAAGTGAATTCTGTTTTATTTCTGACATAAAATGACATTAAATGTTATATTTCTGTGAGTCGCAGAAAAATAGTATTATGATTTTCAGAAAGTGACTTTTGGTATTATGAGAAAGTGACGTTAGGTATGCAAGTATTGCATACTTAATTTAGTTTAATTTAAACTCAATTTGGAATTCAATACTTTAATGTGCTTACCAATCATTGGTAAACACATTAAAGTTGATATGCAATACTAACTTCAAAAAGCCTGCATCGTGCTTCTAGTGCTTCTATGTAATGACAGATGCATGCATAGTTTTAAAACATCAATATGTTGACTGCGAAAAAAATGGTAGACTAGTAATAACCAGTAACTGGTTATTACTAGTCTACCATTTTTTTCGCAGTCAACATATTGATGTTTTAAAACTATGCATGCATCTGTCATTACATAGAAGCACTAGAAGCACAATGCAGGAAGAAAGAAGGAAGAAATTGATTACAGTAGACTAACAGTTATTGGAATCATTGAAAATTTATCGTAGTTTTATTAAGTGTGGCACATAAAAAGATACAATTTTAAATTTAAATTTTGATTAACACTATTTGCTAACTGGTCCAGTTAGCAAATAGTGTTAATCAAAATTTAAATTTAAAATTTTATCTTTTTATGTGCCACACTTAATAAAACTACGATAAATTTTCAATGATTCCAATAACTGTTAGTCTACTGTAATCAGTTTCTTCCTACTTTCCTTCTTCAAAGGAGTTTAAACTATCTTGGATTAAAAATAGACAAGAGTTTAACTTGGAAATGCCATTTAAATGAATTATCAGTTAAACTAAACAGATCCAATGCTATCTTATCTAAACTAAGATATTATGCTAATGAAAAAACTTTAAAATCAATTTGTTTTGCTTTATTCAACTCTCACCTAACATATTGCTGCCTATCTTCGAGGTAAAATTCACCCATTCTAAAACAAGTAAATATTTTTAAAAAAAAATATGGTCATAACCTAAAGTATTCTAAAGAATTTTCTGTACATAAATATAGAGAATAATTTACTAAATATTTTACTAAATCGAGCTGCAAATTATTGGAATGCACTGCCAGAAAACGTCATTAAAGCTAATTCAGTCAACTTATTTAAATAGGTACGTGCACTGAAATTTTTATATTGATCATATAGTAGAATGTTATACATCATTAGAAAGGCCTTTAATACAGTATTTTAAAGGTGAAAAAATTATTAAAAACGAACAATTCTAAAAAAAGTTATAACATTTTTAGTAACAAATTTTAGATATATGGAATTGTTGAAGAAACTGTGGTCAAAATAATTATTTTTTTCACTTAAATTGTTATAACTTTGTCAATTTTTATCCAAATACCTATATCTTGGTATCACAAGATAGGTGCACTAATGGGCTACAAGTTCATTTTGGTGCCTGGATGTAGGGTGTATCTTGGGAGCCAGAGGGGGTAATGAAACACCATCTAACCCTTAAGAAAATACAAGTTTTTGTCAGAAATAAGCACTTTTTAAATGTAATTGTTATATTTTATACACAAAATATTGCCATAACTTGATTCCAAAACACTGCCAAACAAAATAAGGTGATCTTAGAGTTGACCATAGATGTGGTTGTGATGTTATAACACCCTAAATACAATAATCATACTTTCTAATAAATAATTTAATCTTTTTTACAGTAATTTAATATTTTGTTAAAAAGTTAAAATAATTTTTTTTACTATAAAACATACATTAGTGATATACAACACTAACTTTAGGGGAGGGTGTATGTCGCACCCCCTCCCCCCCTTTCCCCCCCCCTCCCCGACTCATAAAAAATAAAAATAATTTTTTCTTTATTACAATAATTTAATGCATTGTTAAAAATTAAAAAAAATCTTTTATTACTATTCAACATATATTATTGATGCACACATTGACTTGAAATGAAGGAAGTATGATGCACCCCCTCCCCCCACGTGACAAAAAATAATCTTTTATAACTACACAACATACATTGGTATTGAAAATATTGTTGTAATACATAAAGCAATATTTTTTTTACTATAGAACATAATTTGAGGAGAGGGATAGTTTTCCCCCTTCCCCTCAACCAACATAAAAAAGAAAACACATAGAAAAGACATTTTCAACATTTTCACATGCAATTATTAAAAAAGAGAAAGCACAATACATAATTGTTTTACCAGATTATAAGTTGCACTAGTATACATTTTCTCATTTAAATGATCATATTTAACCCACCAACCTAATAAAAAAAAAAAAAAAAAAATGTTTTAAAACATAGTAATTACTCTATGTCTTGGCTTTTAGTAAATGATTTTAGTTTTAAGATTGAAATGACCTATAAGCTTCATATGTAAGCTCTAAAAACAAATAAAATATTAATGTATTTGTAATTCATGTAATTAAAAATTAAAAAAATTAAAATAAATACTTACCAAGACAGTTTGTCTGAATATATATAAAGAATGATTAATGAATCAATGAAATTTTTAATAAAAGTTAATCAGAATAAAAACTCAAACATGTATAAGCTTCTGATTCTCCTTTTATAGCACTTGGAGAGATAACAAAACACAAAAATATTAAATAGATGATATAAATAGGAATAAGAGGAACTCAGTAAAAAATCAGAGACATTCTAGATTTATAAATTTACCGTTTAAAGGTGGTACAGATGGAACTAAAAGTAAAATTTGTTTTAATAAAAAATACAAATTGCAAATGGTAATAAATGCATTCATAGTCTAAAAAGTAATAATTTTTATATAAAAATGGTTTTAATTAAAAACCAGTTGATAAGAAATGCAATTGCAAAAAAGAATATGCAATTGATAAGAAATGCATACACATGTTAAAAGAAAAAAGGTTTTGAAACTTACCAGGCTTAGCCACACGTATAAAGAACTAAAGGTAAAAAATATATTATAAAAATCAATATTGCAATCAATGAGAAATTTGTGCACATTAAAAAGAGTTGTTTAGGTGTAGCACAAAAGGTAGATACTAAAATTACAATGTTGTAACAAAAAATCAATATTTTAAATAACGAGAAATGCATACACATAAAATGTAATAGTTTTTTAAATTACTAGTTGCAGCACATGACTAAGGAAATAAAGTTAAACATATTGTAAAGGAAATAAAGTTAAACAACTTTTTAATTTCACATTAAAAAGTTGTTTAACTTACCAAGTGTAACACAAAAGGTAGATACTGAAATTAAAAAATTGCAGCAAATGGGAAATCCATACACAACAAGTAATAATTAAATAAGTAGGAAATACATATATTTATTTATATTTCTTTAATGGTTAATAAAAGTTATGCTATAATAACTTACCAGCTGTAGTCTGTGCATATTGGAATAATGATAACAAAAAAATTGTATAATCAAAAAAAAAAGATCTTGAAATTGTCAACAGTCAATAAAAATAAGTTATTAAATCAGTTCTGCTTTACGTATAACAACTTTACTAACAAGAAAAAGGTATGAAAAAAAAAATTAAAAACAAATAATATTACTGTATTTTAAAATTATATTACTGTATATTAGAAAGACACCAACAAGATATAAGAATAAACTTATTATTGTAAAAGTATCTTGATATTTTTACAAAAATAAGCTTATTATTATAAAAATATTTTGTCAAAAACGTTATTGGCTTAAGCCAATAATGTTTTACTTTAAAGTATAATAATGTTGTTTGTATATTTTTATATATGGTGTATTAACAACATTGGTATCTGATACTAATAGTTAATAAAATATTCCAAAGTAACAGTTTAATCTTAAATCCTAATCTTTTTTAATATACCATCATTGGAATATATTACCATCATTGGTATATATAGTTTAAAAAACCTTAATCTTTGTTTACATGCCATGTAAACAAAGATTAAGGTTTTTAAATTTATCATTGTTTTGTTTTTTAAAAAAGTTATTATTATCATGAAAAACATATTAACTTACTTTTTAAAGTTTTCTTTTCCATAACTTTACCATTTTTATTTGAATTTTAATCTAATATTAAGAATTAAAATAATACAATGTTGTAGTAATTTTTTGTTTACAATCCGCTTCCCCCCTATCCTCCCCCGTATTTCTCTTACTGATAAAACAAAAACAAAAAAAACCGAATTTAGGTACCAAAAGTCCTACACTTCTTAAACTATCTGCTCCCAATTATTTTTTGCTGAAATTTGGCATGTGCAAAGAAAATGCATGTAAAAAATTGCCTGAATAACAAAAAAAGCGGACACGACATTCCTTCGACAACAAATTAATGTGAGAACATCAACGAAATTTTCTTGAAAGTTTTCAGCAAAACTAACCATAAAAAAGTTTAGTGATTATACATAAAAGTACTATAAAAATCAAGCCTAACCTTTCTTCTTTCCAAATATAACTTTTATTTATATATGTTTCTAAAAAGAAACACCACAAAAAACGTTTGTCTAACCCTACCTAAAAAAAGCAGTATATTTAATAAAGCACCTTGTAACATATCTGCTCCCAATTATTTTTCGTTGAAATTTGGCACATAAATAGAAAATGCATGTAAAAAATTGCCTGAATAACAAAAAAAGCGGACACGACATGCCTTCGACTGCAAATTCATGTGAAAACATCAACCAAATATTCAGGAGCAAAATAATCTGTTAAAAAGTCTAGTAACCATACATAAAAGTTTTAAAAAAGTAAAGATTAGCTTCTCTTCTTTCTAAAAAGTATCTATGTGTATATATGTTTCTAAAAAGAAACACCACAAAATTACGTTTACCCCACGCTGCCTAAAAAGAAGTGAAAAAAACGAGTAACAAAATTTTAGCAAAAAAATCGGTTCCGTAAATCACGATATGCGCGTACCTAATTTAAAGCAAGAATTGATCGATTGGAGTCAAACCATCACAAGACTCAGCTTTCATAGTGTACTTTAAAACCACACTCACTGGTAGCAATACCATTCACAGCATAAACTAATACTAATAATACTAAAAGAGCTAAAAGGATAATTAAATTCCTACCCCATAATTCCTATACTAAGAGTTCTTACAAAGACCTTAAAATTGTAAGTTTTTATGACCACATCAAAATTGCTAATTACCTGTTTATACATGGCTGCCTAAATAATATGCTTCCATCTATTTTTAGCGAATCGTTCTCCTTAATAAATAAGTTGCATACTAAGTTGACAAGAGTCTCACATAGAGGTGGATTATTCGTTCCATCGTATAATACTAAATTCTTTGGAAAATCTTCCTTTATGCACTCAGCAATAAAAGACTAGAATCACCTTCAAACTAAGTTTAGTGACTGTCCTTTTTACCAGTTAAAAAAACGCTAACTAAAAAACAAACTCAAATCCTATTTTATAAATCAAGAATTTTTATGAGACAAAAATTTTATTGGTTGTTATGTTGAAGTATATCTTTTTTATTATTTTTCATTTTTTCTTTTTATTTTGATTATCCATGTTTTTGTTTTTCAGATATGTAATCTTGAAAGTTTTTAATATTTAATCTTGGTTTTAATATTTAATCTTAAAAGTATGTGATTTTTTTGTTATGTATATGTTTTTCAATTTTCATGGTCGCTGTCCTTGTTTTAGCAGTACTATATGAGAGTGAACCATCCAGTGTAAATATTACTTTATTTATGTGGCTAATGTAATAATTTTACTGGAAATATATTGTTACTATTCTTTACTAGACTAGTAAAGAAACTGATTACAGTAGATAATATGTTTTTTGCACATACTAGTAACTTGTGCGTGCAATAAACATATTATCGATAAGCTATATTATTTTATATGGGGTATATCCTTTACTATAGCATTTGCAATATATTGTATATCCATGGAAGTTATTTTTTATTTATTTATTTAATATATTTAGCTTATTTAAATGCTATTTAAGATCATAGTAAAAAATCACAATAAAGAGAGTTTTAAATAAATTCTGCAAACTACTATTTATAAACATCCTTTTTCTTTGAATCCCTTTTTGTAAAGCAACTTCAATTAATTTGGTTATTTATTGTATAATTTTATACCATTGCACAGTGGGCCAAAATTTTTCTTACGTGGCCTAAAGTCTTAAAAAAGTTAAATCTTCTAAACTGTTTTTTTTATTATTATTGAAACATAAGTCTTATACTCAAATCTCCCTATGCAGGTTTCTAAAATATTCCTCAACATAATTAATCCCATTTTGCAAAATAATCGTATTTTCTTATTTGAGCAACACAACCCCCCAGTGCAAGCTCTTTATATATCACATTAAAGATGCAAAAAACCAATTTAAAATATCACATCCCCCCTATGTTTACTTCTAAAATGTTATATCCTCTAATTAATTCATACTATATTTTAGACAATTAGTATTGGGTACTTATTAAAAATTATTATTAAAAATATTTACGTCGATTATGATATAAAATCTTAATGTAAAACCGTATTATCACTAATATTTTTATTATAATTAAAGATAAAGTTATTTTTTATTATTATATATATTATTATTATTATTATTATTATTATTATTATTATTATTATTATTATTATAATTATAGATAAAATATTTTTATTATAATTTAAAATAAAGATATTATAATTAAAGATAAATATATCAGGTAAAGCGAATGATTAGAGGCCTTAGGGTTGAAACAACCTTAACCTATTCTCAAACTTTAAATTGGTAAGAAGCCCGACTTGCTCGATTGAAGTAGGGCACAGAATGAGAGTTCTTAGTGGGCCAATTTTGGTAAGCAGAACTGGCGATGTGGGATGAACCGAACGCAGAGTTAAGGCGTCTAAATCGACGCTCATCAGACCCCACAAAAAAAAAAAAAAAAATAAAATAAAGCACGATAAAGTACAATATAAATATTAAAAAATAAACGCTAATCACAACAATCTAAAGGACTTTAACAGTGATCGAATATTTAAATAAAAGAAATTGTTAATTAAGATATAAAATACTTTTATATGTTATTTAAATCTCATTCAATATTTTCTTATAAATTTAACGCTTGCAGCACTTTAGCTGATACGAATATAAAATTAAAAGACGGAGGAGTTAATATAAACTAAAATAATAGTTAATAAAATAGGAGTTAATATAAATTAAAACTAATTTAAATTTTTTCATAGTTACTTTAAAACAAAAAAAAAGAAACTCAAATAACATATTTAAAAAATATATACTTTATAATTTTTTTTTTGTATAAAATAATTAAATTCTAATTTAAAACAATTAAATTTTTAGATAAACAAAACGATTGCTATTTATTTGTAAAATATGTTTTTTTTCAATTTTCAAATGAAAGAAAATTTTATTGTCAAACGACTGGGTTGTTTATTTTGCAATCATTAATTGACATTGTGAACAAGTGTTAATATATAATAATGTCCCGAAGGAACTGTTTTTGTAACAATAACAACAGAAGCAATGCAATTATTTTTTTAACTTCTTTCGTAATTACAAAATTATGCAATTCAATAATTTCAACGTAATAAAAGGCGAGCATTGACTCAGTATAATCATTTTAGAATAAGTCAAGAGAGAACTTTTTTCACATTAAAATCTCAAATAATATATTTAATAATTAAAACAGCAATTTATTTTCTTGTCTAAGTATTGGGGAATAACGTCATCACCTTTGCATAAACTTTCGTAAAAACTAAATTAAATGAAAAAATTTAATCAAATTTGTCTTGCGTAAATAATGAATCAGTTTTTTTAATACATTATCTGATAAAGTTAGTGAATAAATTACGTATCAAGTCTTTATTTTCGTGAAAAACTTTATGATTTATTGTCGCCTTTTCCTTCAATTGTATCAAATTTCGTAGCTGAAAATAGCAACCCTAAAAAAAGAAAACAAAAACAGTATAAAAACTTTAGAAAAAAATGTTCAGGACTTTTTTTTTTTTTAATTTTTTTTTTATTATCAAAATATTTTTCTTACATCCAATTTCAATTTTATACTTTGTTTAGACTTCGTTTCCTTTTTTTAATATTATTTTTTATTCTCTGTGGATAAGTTTCGCTTGTCCACGAAATATTGCTGCGGTCACGTTTTCTGAAAAACTTATTCTATGCGTGGACAAACTTGCTCCTGAGTATGTTCCTAAGGAGCTGCTATCTTCTGTCCTGTCCTTGGTTGGATCAAACAGAATTACTATAACTTTTAGTGATCCTTCACCTATTAATATATATATATATATACTTACACACATACATATTTGTATATAAATATGTACAATTAATATTTTTAAAAAGAAGTTTTCAAAAAAACAATTATTAAAATATAATAAGTAATATAAATTAAATAATTTAAATATAAATACCTGAATCTATTCCAACCTTTACAAATGTGTTTTGTGGAACCTGCCCTCGATATTTCATTACAAAATCCAGAAATGTTGTAATATCTTCAATATATACCAAGTGTCTCTTCACTGTAGCATAGTCATTATCTTTTTCCTTTTCTTGAAAGTCTAATAATTCAGTGACATAAAAGTTGGAAAGTAGTTTACTTTTTTCATCCAGGGCTTTCTCCATGTTTGACTCAAACTTTACACCGCATCTCCTCAAAGTTTTTAACATTTCATTTGACTTCAATTGACTAAGTCCTAAGGTATTTACTAAAACTTCTACTTCATTATAAAGAATCTTTCTCTGGTCACTTTCTCGAGTACCGAGTGTAATATGAATACTTTTACCTCCTTAATATAATATAAACTGTTATTTTAAAAACGTACGTAACAGCTATTTTTATTTAACAATATTTTACCTGTTCTGAGAATGGCTTGAGCCATTCTCAGAACAGGCAAAATCTAGACTTTGTTCTTGATCAGAAACAGGTAAATTCTAGACTTTGTTCTTGATCAGAATAAATTTTTTTTAGAAGGGAAGAAGCTACTTGTTCTTTTACTTTTATAGAAATTTTAGAAATACTCTCAGAAAGATTTGTGCTACTCTTTAAAGGGGAACATTTGTGGGGTTTACCTTTAGCAATTTCACAGAAACATATTTGGCAAAATTTCAGTGTTGAGCTAGTTCCCTTTTTCATAATTTTATTTAATAATCTATTTCTTCCTTGACTGAATATACTGCATAATATCGAGCAATCTCTAGAGGTTTGCAAGCTAGAAAAATCAGAATTTTTCCATTTTAAAGTAACTGTGTCTGCAATAGTTTTACCAGACTTACGGAGATATAAGTTTTTCTTGCAACCTGGGCATAATCCTGTAGGGTAGGCAAATACTTTAAGTGAAAACTCAGGCTTACAGAAAACTTGAACCAGACCTTCCAAATTTTTATTAACTGGAATGCATTTGTTGTTCTTTTCAAGGCAGCAACAGTAAATGATCTTTTGAACAAGTACATGATTTCTTTTAAAATGGTATTCTCTCTTCTCCTTAGAGAGCAGAGGAGCCATAGATTCAATATATTAGGTATCTATAATAAAATAAAAATAAAAATGCATAGTCAAAAAGAAATCTTTTAAATAAAAAATGTTTTTTTGACCAACTTTGTGTATTTTTTTTTATTAATATTTATGTATAAATATTAAATTAAATACCTTGAAAAGTTGGTATATGAACTTTTTTTAAATAAACTTCAACTTTCTGTCAGTATATTTAGTTATTTTAAGTACGAAAATAATGACTTTTTATCAGATTTTCAATGTCAATTTTCTAAAAATGTGATACCTCCCAGATTTTTCTAAATATAAAAATGAAGTGTCCAGATGCCCCACTTCCTATATTTGTTAACATTTTTGGGGTACTCGGATAGTAAACTTAAACCTTAAATTTCTGACCTGTGTATGTATATATATATATATATATATATATATATATATATATATATATATATATATATATATATATATATATATATATATATATATATATATATATATATAATATTTATTATATTTGATAAATATAATGATAAAAATTTTCATTTGTTTGTATTTACATTAGGTTAGTATTAAATTGTTTTCAATTAAGTTCATTTAGAGAGCATGGTGCAAGAAGAGAACCTCTCCAGCCCCTCTATTGCTAAGCAAGATACTAAACTTCTAAATAGTTTCTTAATAAGTAAGTGACGTTGGTTATTAATAAAAAAAAGATATATTGAGATCTCTGTTAAGAGCATTCCTAAAAAAATGAAAGTCGCCTCTTTTATTATCATATTTTATGCATTTTCGTAAATATAAGCTTACCTTAAAGAGTAAAAACAACAACTACGTGTTCAGCATGTGTTCAGGTGAAGTTTTTATTTCTTTTACTTTTCTTTATTCGATAAGATACAGCCCCATTGCTTACACATCTTAACAAGATGTTCTGTCAATCAATCGTATGTCATACTTTCCACCAAAATAACTTTCCACCAAAGTATAGAATATTGAATAATTGAATTATTTATATGCAAGAACACATAAAAAATGCATAACTTTTTTTTTTTTTTAATCAAAGAGTTATTCTACTAATAAATTCTTAACAAACTTTAATCAAGTTAATCCATTAAAACTGTATATTTACTCTATTGTCTGCAGCAGCCAAGGGTGGTGTTAAAGGGTAAAAAGTAAGTGCTGAGATTAAGGGTTAAGCTCTTCAATGCAATCAAAGAATCCGCAATGCAATATGTTGATGTTGTTTGGTCGAATTAAAGAACATAAGCTTTGATCCTTAATAAGAATCTCAATTAATATTGTTTCACCATTTTCAATGACTTCAAAAAGGCCATAAACATATGAATTTCTTTCATGTCATTCCGGTAGATTTCGAGGTGATATTTAATAATAAACTGATTAAAAAGCAAAAATTTTAATAAGAGGCGATTTTCTGGGGGCGAAATTTACATGCTTCTTGCGTCATGCTCTTTTTGTAATTTTTAGTGCAATTAGAATATATTTTTTCTTTGCTTAGGTTTCCCCTAATAGCCAGCTCCCATTAGAAATCCAGTACCAGTCATTAAACTGGGAGTGCAAGCATTCTGGAGCAATTAAATCTCGAGGAAAAGGAAAGCGTCAGGTAGTCATAAAAATATTTTTCTTAAACTCATCTTTGTCTTATCATAGTCTAACTCATATTTAAATTTAATCACATGTGGTATTTAATGTCATAATATGTGATAAAATAACCTTAGGCCTTGTACTGAACATCAATAAAACTGTTGTTCAGTATAATCCTAAATCATTTACCTTCTCTGTAGATGTATATGTAGGTAATTTACCAGCATTTAAATTAAATGCATTCAAATATAGCATTTAAATAATAATAATAGAATTTAAATAGCTATCGGTTAGCTTTTATATAACATAACAATTTTACATAACTTAGTGTATGAATCCTACCTGCTTTTTTTTTAGACTCACACTTTTGCTAATGGATGTTCTATGCAAATAACCATAGTGTATGAATTTTGATTTATAAATGTTATATTGAATTTTATGTTAGAATACATAATAACTACATTTGTCATATAGGACAAATAATCAACATAGTTTAATTAAGATAATTTGTTTTATTATTTTTTATATATTTTATGATATATTTTGTTATGCAATATAAATTGCATCCAAAGAAATTGTTGATTTTGCAAAGGTACAGTATCAACTAAGCTATCCAGCGACAGGGCAGATTTTATGTGTAAGAAGAGCTTTTATAAACGACATGGATATCTATTTATGGTTTCACAGTAAATATACTACAGTAATATACAGTCCTGTTCTGTTCATTTAAAAATTTAATCAAAACCTTTACTTATATTTTTGTCATAAGGAAATAGATAAAAGTAAGAACCGTCTAAACTACACAGGTTTAGAACCATAGCCATTAAACTTGAAAACAAAAAGAAAACAAAAATTTTGCTTACAAAAAGCGCTTCTTGAAATTAGAAAAAAAGTTTCAATATTTTTTTCATGAGTCAGTTTACTTTTTATAATTGCAGATTCAATCGTGTTATGGGTAATTTTGTTGTGTCAACATGTAAACTAAACCATAATCATGATGTTTCCCCAGACTTGATTAGGTTATATCCAGAACATCGGCGCCCATCAGGAAAGCTGGCAGAAGATGTTGATAACATGTTGTCAGTAAATGGAAATCCAAGTCTTGTTTCACAAGTGTTACACAAGGAAGGTTTAGCTGTGCGTGTTAAAGATATGCACAATCGAAAGCAAGTTCTTATAAAATCAGGTTAAATGAAATTTAATCCGTACATGTTACTATTTAATTTGTAATGAATTCCATTTAATACTTTTTTCATATCATTAGGTTCAACGTTAACTGCAAGACTGCGTTCTATACTTGCATTACCAAATGTTCACTATCGCTTTTTAGAAACAGAAGATCATCAATTTCAAGGTTTGTTTTTCCAAACAGATATACAAAGAACATTGTTCTACAAGTATGGAGAAATGATTCAGATGGATGCAACTTATAAGGTTTAAAAATATTAGTTTAATCATCTCTGTATCTAATGTTTGCAGTATCGGGATCCCGGCCTATTTTTTAATTCCGAAATCCTGGGTTCCATCAACTTAAGTACATTCACGTTACTTGTGATTCAATTAAGTCTCATCCTTTTACTTTGACTATTCATAAATCCAAAAGTTCTTATTTTTTTCCTAATAGTGCTTGCTTGCAGCCTTGTTGGAAGTGTTTTTAAGAAAATGTCATTTTCATTCACTTATTCTCTATCTAAACGTGTAAAAATGAAACTAATAGCACAATTTAGAATTTTTTTAGTAAAGCTTTAACAATGAAAACTATTTTACCGCGGATATGACAGATATTTACTCATACAAAATACCTAATGCTTATTTTAAATACAACTAATGAATGAAAAGACTGAACTAAAGGTATTAAATATAACTTGCTTTTTCAAAAATAGAATTTTAACCAAAAAATAATGATTTTTTTTTATTCAAAACCTTCATGATTTTAATTTAATAACAAAGTTCAGTGGAAAAGAAAAAAAGTGTAGTAATTTTTTAAAATTCCTTATTTGCATTCTTCCTCTCCTATTAAAAAATATTGTTTAGTAATAAATAATTTTTTTTATAAGGTCTTTTAATTTAATTGCATTAATTTGATAAGCTTTCCATTATTAAGTTATCAATAATTGATTTTAAAAACACTCTTTAAACCATATTATTCCTTAAAAAGTCTTAAATAAGCAAGGTATTGTGAATAGAGACTAGTTTAGTGCTGAGTTAAAAGGAAGGAAGTTATGTAGGGGTGTAGCACTGCCGATAACCAGATATGCAATTTTGCTCTCAACAAGGCTACATTGCAATGTGATAGTGTTTAAAATGTTTGGTAATAAAACAACTAAGCCATCATCCTTAATGCCAAAGATCTCAGAATCTCTGCAAAACAGTACAACAGAAAGTAGTGTAGGCCAATTTCAACAAAATGACAATTGCAAGGAATGTGGCTTTGTTGATCCTCCTAAAAAAAGAACTAAAACAGTTCCTTGGATTCAATGCGATCATTGTAATGGTTGGTATCACTCTTATTGTTCTGGTCTCAACAAGAAACTCAAGTCAAGTGAACAGTTTAGGTGCAAACAATGTGGTTAGTACATTGAATACTTTTCAACATATGGTTTTTACATAAACTATTAGTGTAAAATGATGTTTTTGTGTTTATATAGTTATATATTATAATTTATATTTATATATTTAGCATAAATTTATAGAGAGAGAGACTTATTTATATATATATATTTATATACTATTGGTAAAATATTTTATCTAAATTATAGTGATAATATAAATATGATTAATAGTAAGTAAATACTAGCTTGTTTACATTTTTTCCTCTTCATTTATATATATATATATATATATATATATATATATATATATATATATATATATATATATATATATATATATATATATATATATATATATATATATATATATATATATATATATATATATATATATATATTATATATCTTACCCTGCAATTTTTTTTTTCTATTTTTGAATCAAAGTAGGTCTTGATAAAACAAATAAATCAGCAATATGAAGGAATTTTAAGTTAAGTATTTTTTTCAATTATACATTTGAAGAAAAAAAAAAAAAAAGATAAAGGTAAATTAAATTATTTTGAGTGTCTATAATGAATTTTGACATGTGGAAAATTATTTTGAGTGTCTATAATGAATTTTGACATGTGGAAAAAAAGAATAAACTGAAATGGTATTTTAATGCAAATGTAATATAAGTTTCTCACTGCAAAAATATTGATTTTATTATTTTTATTTACTTTTTTTATTTACCTTTTATAATTTTAGATAATGCTGAAATGATCAAGTTGTAGTATTACATTGTTTACATGTCAGGGAGCTAAAAGCTAATCAACATGAAGTGTCTATTAATTTTTTGTTCCTTGACATGTAATTTTGGGAATGGATGTTGTGATCATTAACTTCTTCGAAACGATTACAGTCGTGTTTAAATAAGATTCGGTTTCACTATTCAAGACAACAATGTCATACTAAATTATGGTGATTATTATGTAATTATGATTTCTTTATGTCTTTTTTACAATTTTGCTAATTTTTCTTATTTGATTGCTTTTCCATGATAATTTTTTTTTAGTTTAAAGGTGAGAAATATTAAATATAAATTACTTACAATGTTATGTTTTAAAGTTAATATACTTCTAAAAAATATTATTTAGCTTCGAGATTATGCCGAGTCATTTTTATTTGTTGTATTTTTGACTTAGCTGCACCCGGCAGAGAGAACTAGTTTCGATTCATACATCCAGAAGTTTAATTCATACATCCGAAAATCTAACATTTTTATTTCAATAGGTTTACATCATTTAATAAAACTAGCTTAATGTTAAGTGACTTTAAAAATAAAAGCTGAATATTTAACGCTTAAATATTTTTTACTTGTAATATTTAGATTTATGGTTTTTAAATTGAATTAAGAGTTAACCTTGTAATCTAAGTTATAATTCATAATTTAAGTATTTGCATTATTTTCGATTTGCAATATTCCAGAATCTATAAATTTTTCGGTTGAAATTAGGTCAAAGTGCCTGAATTCTTGACAAATTCGTTTACCTTTTGTCGTATAGGCTATATTTAATCGTGTATTTGTTAAAATCTGTTTAGAAACTAAATTGAAAAGATATTACTAGGATTTGGTCAATTAACCCTGTATTGAAATTTATTAGACAAATTAAAAGACTCTTAATCGTAAAAATAGATATAAAAATCTTTTTTGATGTGCAACTATATATAGTTGCCTTTTCCGTTAGTTAATCAAAAATAAATTACTTAGTTTTAGCACTAGCAAATTACGCGTTTGGTAAATGAGCTCTTCTTATAGTATTAATATATGCATTAACACATTAACAATAAATTTGCCAATAGGAAACCGCCATATTTGCTAGTTCGAAATTAGGCCTGAAGTGAACCAATTGTACTATTTCTACTATTTAAGGAAAAGAACCAGAAGAGTTAGATTTTCTCATTTAACTGACATTGAGTGATAAAAAAATCAAGTCTATTTTTTTCGGGCTAAACACGGTTAGCTATCATGTCAACCAACCTTTTTCTTTCAACGAAACGACTTGTTTCGTTGGCGTAATGCAGATTGACTTAGTTGACGATTCTTTTACTTGCGCAAGTATGCCTACTAATGAGTTGTTAATTACTTATTGTAAGTAATTAAAAGCATTTATAAGTACTAAACTAAGTATATTTAGGGAAAGCAGATCGGAGCAATTGCGAAAAATAAAAGTTGCTGTTAACCTAAGTAATTTTGTATTATTTTACTTAAATTAAATAAAAAATTAAATTTTATAAATTCAAAAAAAAAATTATAAATAACCTAAAATATTTTAATCATTTTTATACTTGGACTTTATTGACACTCGGGCAATATTTTATGTTTAGCAAAACCGTTTTGTTAGCAAAATAAATAATTCTGTGGCGGTATTTACCGCCACTTTATTAAATATAAACTATTTGTGATGGTTTTGTTTAATTTGCATTTTACCGCCACTCTAGCAAATTTTAAAGCTTAGCGTGGCGGTATTTACCGCCACTTTAGCAAAATATCAACTTTAGGTGGCGGTATTTTGCGTCATGAATTTTACCGCCACTCTAGCAAATTTTAAAGCTTAGCGTGGCGGTATTTACCGCCACTTTAGCAACATTCATAAAATATAATATTCAATCTTATATCCTTATAAATCAAGTGCAACAAGAAATGTCATTGAAACAAACATTATTTTATAAACTATAAGATCAATTATTAAGATATATGCAAATATTTTAAATATAAATTATTCTAAAATCAATGCTAAATCAAGACTAAATATTAAAAAAAAAAAATGGCAACCCGATTTGCTAGTTTTCTCTACATACTCTAACAATTTCACGGTAGTATACCGTGAAGTAGTTTAAATCACTGTTCAGATTGTAATTACGGTACAACACCGTAAAGATAACGGTACTGTACCGTAAAATGCAATCACGGTACAATACCGTATTATTCACTGTATAGTACCGTGAATTTCACGGTAAAGTTTTACAGTGTATATATATATATATATATATATATATATATATATATATATATATATATATATATATATATATATATATATATAAAATATATATATATCCATGCCTCCATGTATGTATACGTATATATATAATATATACGTATACATACATGGAGGCAACTTATTTAAACTGGGGGTGGGGGGCTATGAAGAGGTAAGACGTCTTTAAACATTAAAACATTTTAAGATTCTGTAGTTGTACTTATCGTTTATGTATAAGGCAGTATAATATGCTTTTAAGGGTTAAACATTCTGTTCTCGTAGCTGTATTACTCACATTATAACTCGTTTAAGATAAAAAAAGATTACAAACTTTAAACAACTGGAGATTCAAACGTTTATATGAGAGATATGTGTATCTATGGCCTTATATATGGGTATGTTGTACATGGGATTCAAATTGCTTAAATATTATCAACACGAAAACATAAATCGAATATTATTTAGAATTTTTCTTTATAACTTAAGTTACTCAACGGAATAATAGTACTAATTCTTATTTTTCACGTAATTTCTCGTAATTTTTCGCAAAATTCTTGTGGTAATTATTATTTAAAATATTTTTTATGATATGAAGTTATATTTAGTCTTCAAATATTATATTTTCAAACGCGTACGTGATGCGGAAAGTTATAGAAAATAAGAAGCAGTTAACAAAGTTTGGTTTTGAAAAACAGGTTTTACATAGTATGAGACCATTATAAAACATTATTGCAAACTCAAGATTGTTGAAGTAAATGTAGGTGCAAAACAAACAGAAAAAGAATTATTAAGTACTTTTTAGATGATGCATAAGTAATAGTACTTTTAGAACCACCAGGAGTTAGAGTTGGATCTAATAAAGATGCAATAGTAACAATAGTTGTATGGCAAGCAAAAGATGTATTCTTAAAATAGAGGCAGTGCTAAGAGAAGTTAATGAGACAACACTTCTTGCATAAAAAGAAGTAATAGTACAATTTGTGTCTTCCCTTTCCAATATTTTCTTCAGTCATTTAAGATACTTCCTTTCCGCACGAGACAATTTCCGTTTTAAAGACACATCAGCGAAGTAAATCATCAAAAACATTGTTATGTAACATTACAACAATTTTGACAAACCTCTTTTTATTATTTATCTTATAATATATATCGTTTATAAAACGTTAATTATAAAACGTTTTAAAAGATTTTTTTAACCTTTTTTTAATATAGTTGTGAATAGTTTTCTTTACGAAATTAAATAAAGAATTTTTTATAAATATTTTCGGGGCTACAGCCCTCACCACCATCACCACCAACACCACCACACTTACACACATCTACGGCTATGATATATATATATATATATATATATATATATATATATATATATATATATATATATATATATATATATATATATATATATATATATATATATATATATATATATAAAATACATAAAAAATATCTATAAAAAATATATAAGATGGTACTTTTCTTGTTTGTCTTTTTTTGCATTTTACCATATATATAAATATTATATAAAGATGTAAAATGCATTTTACATCATTATATATTATTTATATCAATATCAAAAAGAATTAAATTTTTTTTTTTTTTTTACTCCAAAAGATTTATATTTAGTTTAGACTGCTGAATACTGTCTTTTTTACAACACCAGAAAAGCTAGCGACAATAATAAAAGTTTTTCAAACACATTAAAGATATTTTAACGTAAAAAACACATTTACAAATAAAAAAATGTGTTAAAAATAAAATTCAAGAATCATTTGGCAAGAATAAAAAAATATATTGGATTTAAAAAGTGTATGTATGATATTATTTACAACCATTATAGTGTTATTAAAAAGTGATACAAAAACATGCTATCAAAAGTTAAACAAAAAAATTTATAATTATCTTCTCATTGTAGTTTTAAAATTAACAGCTACAGTTTAGATTCAATTTATAAGCATTTATCATTTTGGCTAACTCATTAGGATAGCCACGAGAGTTTGCTAAAAAAATAGCTAAATCTGTTATTTCATTTGATGAAGGTGTGATATCTAAATTTGTTTCGGCTTCATTGTCAAAAAGATTTTTTCCATTTTCTTCAAAGGAACCATCTTTTTTTTTTAAATTATCATATATATGTTTCAAAACCTTTGTTGAAGCTGATGTTGCTGACAAGGCTTTGACAATTTCTATTATTATATAGTTGTTACCTACAAACCTTACTCCACCAGTGCGTAAATTTGGATCAGAACCAGGTATTTGTTGAGCACCAAATAAAGCAGGACCAGCATGAGTTGCTGTCAGAAATCCCAAAATGTATTGCGCTGCATACTGAATTGCAGCATCAGTACGTTTTTCTACTTCATCCTTTTCCCAACTTAAGGACAACATTTTGTTAATCTTCTTTGAAAATTTAGGCTGAAAACTGGTATTTGTTGATAAAGCCAAACCATCTTTAAACAATGTAATATCTTGTGTCATACCATGTAATTGAAATAGCTTTCCAGGATATGGTGTTAGCTGAATCATACCATTTGGTGTACCTCGTTCTCCATGAATAACAACACCTGGCCAATTCCCACTGCACTCTTTCCATTGACATAAATAAGATGCTTTAAACTCAATCATTCTCTTACAAGTAAGCAACTCAGTCATTTCTTTGCAATTAAGTTGAATAAGATCATCAATAAAACCAGTTTGATATCCACATGCATTAATTAAATAATCAACTTTTTTAAATCTTGTTTCATGTTCCAAAGTTAAAGGGTTATTTGTTCGATATTGTATATGCCACTGGTTTTCAATCAGCTTTACATCAGTAACTTTACTTTTTAAATGAACATGACAGTTTTTTAAATTTTTAATGATAAGCTGAACATTTGCTGCTAAACGTAGTGTACACCATCCATATTCCTGAACCATAATGACAGGAAATTTAATTTTTTTGAAATTAAGGTGCTTAGTTACAGGAATTAGCCATTCTTCAAATGTCACAGGGTTTAAAGGGTTTTCAAAATGTCTGAGTTTCTTAATATGTTCTTTACTGAATGTTTTGAAGTAGTCACAAGGTAGACCAAGTAATTCGTTCTGAGGATTCTCGTCTACTAAACTGGCATATGCTGATTGAACTACTCGCAACCTGGGAAGTAGATCATTAGGCTCACCATAATCATGTATAGGTACTATTATAAGAGTTGGACGTGCGCTTATTGTATTTGGATACATTTTTATAATCTCTATGGACTCTTTTAACAAGGTCACACAGGCTACATCAGAGATTTCTCGATAAAGGTTACCACCAGCATGAAGATGACAAAATGGTGGTCCATTTACTAAGCTATCACTTGCCTCAAATAAGCTAACATTTATTTTATGTTTTGCGAGCTTAATAGCAACTGTAGATCCTGAGATACCACCCCCAACTACTGCAACTGAAAGTTCTTGTTTGTTATTGCTGTAAAATATATCCCCCATATTGATGTATGTGGCAATTTTAAGTACTAAATAACTAAATAGATTGTAAAACCTAAGAAAAATAAGTAAAAGAAAACACTTCTGATCTTTCGTCTGCAGATAAGCTAACTTTAAAGAAATCACTCTTGATATATTTTTACTTTAATTATTATTTTCTTTTTTATTGAGATAATTGTAACCTCGCGGATTTGTTAGAAAATTCAGCAATTAAAATGAGTAATTTAGTTCTATTGTTTATAAAACATAAACATAATCATCAATGATTAAGTTTATGATTTATGTATTTTGTGTTACAGTTACACAAAATACATAATAAAGTTAAATAGACACATTTTTTTACAACTTCTAAAAAAAAAAAAAGATTCTCCTAAAAAAGATTTAAAATTGGAAATAATTTTTTGAAGTTACATGCTACAATTTTTTCATATTTCTTTTTTCGTATTTTTTTTTATAATTCTTCATGTGAAATTACAGCTACAATTTTTCGAAATAGTAATCTTCAGGTTAAAAGAGTTCTTGCTTTTAATAAAGAGTATTTTTTGTCTGTTATTTTATCGTCAAAATATTTTGAGTGCGTTATGGATTTCAAAAGATCAAAGAGAAAAATTTTATTAATTCTAAATTAAAACATACTCTGCATAGAAAAGATGAGCTAAATTGAGCTTAAAAACTATTCATTTCCAACATAAATTTTTCTGGTTCGGCTAGCAGTGGTAGCCATAAAATATTTTGTAACTGTTTGACTCGTGTCAAGTCGTAATTTTTTTAAATTAATTTTTATTAATTTCAATTAATATTAATTTTAAAATAATTTTTTGTATAGTTATTATAAAAGATACTTTATGACTATGTATTTTGTGACTATGGTTTAATTAGCTTCAGTGAACTTAAAGTGCTGTCTTGGTTTAGTTACAGACTCTGCGCAGGAAAACTTTTGATCTTTTATTTGTTAATTTTCCGTAGTTTATGCAATGATATATTAAAAATATCTTATTATAAACTATACTTAATATATCATTGAGTTTATGATGATCATTGGATGGATTTTTTTTTTATTTACAAACAAATATATATTACAATACGTATATAACGTGCGAGTTGTGTAACGATGTTCACGGAACTCTATATTTAAAAAAGGATAGTACTATTTTCATGAGTTACATGCTTTTTATGTTTTTCGTTTGTATTTTCTTGATTTTATTTTTTGAAAAACGCTTTTAACTATAAAAACCTTTAGAGAAAACATCTTGATTATTATTTTAAAAGTTGTGTAGAGGAAGTTCGTGGGCGTTGGACCCCTTGTACCTAGGGCACACAAACTTTATTTGAAAACTATAAAGTTCTAAGTTGTACTTCTCAGTCTTATTATTTTATGTTTTAATTCTAGTTTGATTTTCAGAGAGCTTTGCCACGGCAAGTTATAATCGGAAAACACTATTTAATAGTCAAAGTTTTGCTGTTAGTATTTTATATCATTTTACAACGAAGAAATTCTATATGTTAATGTATATTATATTGTTTGTTACTTAAGTACTGAATTTGATGTTCAATAAGTTTCCTTTAAATCCGTGACGTAGTTGCTAAAGCGCTTGCTTAAGAAGCAAGAGATCATGGATTAGAAGTGAGCTCTGGGCATATTTCGTGCCACCGCTAAAGAATGAAGCGTAAACATTCTAGTTTAATGTTCTTCCGCGGTCTCTGTGACAAGACTGTTCGGCCCTCTTGGAGCACCAAGAAAACAAAAAATTGAAAGTAAAAAAAATATATATTACCAGTGTCACATTCTGGGTAATTGCAAATACTATCATTAACTTTTTTTAAAATATAGAAGTTAATCATAACTTTTAGTTTTCTCCATGACTATCCAAAAGCTTTAGTTGTTAGGCTAAAATGCTTAATGTTTTCCTTTGCTTTTATAGTCGCTGTTTTTATTTGCTATGCAAATCGTGCCATTTTTTACCGTCTTCAAAATATCTACATCTTAAACCTACAGCTTAAAAAGATTCTCCCCTTTTACTTTAATCACATTGAAGGTCTCATTTATCAATATTAAAATGTGAAGTGGTTTTTCAACATTACTTTCAAAATTTTAAATTTTTAAATTGTTGGATAATTTTTATGGTGCCACTATATGTGAATATTGACTTTGGGTAAAAAAAATTTGAAAAAAAAATTTTTTACTTATGCGGTATTGCAGTTTTCGGAAAGGTAAAATTGATCATTTATGCATAAATGCAAGGGTGTTAAAATTTTTAAACTATTAAAGTCTGAAAAATTATAGATTTTTTCTTATATATTACCATATGGGCTTTTTTGTTCTATCATCGCAATTTCTTTGCAAAGCATCATTGTTTTACATAATATTAAACATGCAAATGTTTGGAGTTTGTTCCATGTCTGGAATTTAGCTCAAACACCAAAAAAACTTGGATCCGTCACTAATTTTTATTCTTTATTTAATTGAAAACATACGATTTTTATTAAAAAGATATGATAATGTCTATATACAAAAAAAGTTAATCAAAATAGATGGAAAAATACCCTAATTTTAGATATAAAATCCTAATATTACGTCAATAAATAGTTTCTCCGCTTTTCACCTCTCATTTTGTAAAATTTTTTTTTCGAAACTGAAAAAATAGAAACTCTTGAACAACAAAATTGCAAAGCTGTTATACAACATGTCTGCAATTATTGCCGCGGCGGTCTATTGCATATTCGGTACCGTCAACTTGTTTGATATTTCCATTAGTCGCCGTAGTGTTCTCTCTTATCCTTTAATTTCTTAAAAAATGGTAGGTGTGCAATAATTCAGCAACACAAGTGATTGTTTTATCTCGTATTATCTCTGAAATCACTTATGAACTTTTTTTAAACTGTTGGTAAATTATTTTAACTTATAGTTTATATATGCCCATCTATTTAGTTTTGTATAATAATTTTTAGACCACCAGATTTAAGAAGAACCGAAAGAAGAGGGGTCATGTTAGTGCTGGTCATGGGCGAGTTGGTATGCATTTTGTATAAAATTAGTTACTTTATTATTTATCAAATGCTTGACATTTAGATTGTTTTTCTGAACATATAAATTTTCTGAATATATTATTTGTTGCAAAGTATTTTATAATAATACACAAACCAGTTTAGCATTTCTCTAATGATGATTGTTTCAATCTGTCAATCCACTGAAAAATTATGTTGACATGTTGTTCTGAGGATGTTGAAGTTATATTAGTTCCAATAAAATATTATTATAAATGTTTAGTTTTATTTAAAAATCTAACATTTGGTTTATTATCTAAAAACAAAGCAAATTGAAGTAAATGTTTAATAAATAAATTTTCGTTAATTTTTCTGATGATGAACATTTTTATCTGTCAATCCTCTGAAAAATTATGTTGACACATTGTTCTGAAGAAATTATATTATAAATATTATTATAAATGTTATGAAATGTTATAAATATAAATTTTATAAATAAAATATTATAAATGTTTAGTTTAATTTGAAAATCTAATATTTTGTTTATTATTTAAAAATAAAGCAGACTGTAGTAGATTTTTAATAAGTAAACTTTTGTTAATTTTTTTTTTCTGATGATGAACATTTCAATCTGTCAATCCTCTGAAAAATTATGTTGACATATTGTTCTGAAGAAATTAAAATTGACTTCAATTTAACTAATTTAATTATTTTTGCAATGATGATCATTTTATCTGTCAATCCTCTGAATAATTATGTTGACACCTTGTTCTGAGAAATTTATTTCTAATACATTTGGTATAGATTTTTTTTTCTAAGTAAATATATATATATATATTTTTTTACTAATTTACTAATATTTTTTTACTAATTTGTTAAAGTAATTGATTTTTTAAAAAACTATTCTTTAGCTTATAAATTTTAAAGTTTTTTTTATATAAAAGTAATAAACATTAATTATTCTTCATTCAATTGCATCCAATTAATATTCAGGTAAACATAGAAAGCATCCTGGTGGTCGAGGTAAAGCCGGTGGTCAACATCATCACAGAATTTTGATGGACAAATACCATCCAGGTTTCTTCGGTAAAGTTGGTATGCGATATTACCACAAAACTCAAAATAAATTTCATTCACCAACAGTTAACTTAGATAAGCTCTGGACTTTAGTGAGTGAACAAACTAGAGTAAATTATGCTGCTAAAAAAGATGGACCTGTTCCTGTTATTGATTGCGTCCAAGCTGTAAGTATTTTGTAAATTTTGAATTAAAAGTTGTAATACAATTTATTAAAAGTTTACAACTTTTAATAAATTGTATTTTTATTAAGTTAGGTCAAATGCATAATTTAAACGTTATATACATGTAACAGTTTTATTATAGGTATAGTATTAAAATTTATATTTTTGTGTGTATATTTATTACATGCTAAACATTAAAAAGTTTTCCAAGATAAAACAGTTTAGCGCTACTGCAGTTTCTCTCCTCTAATTTGATGTTGAAGTTTTAAAAATTACCAAAAAAAATGCTAATATTTGCTATTTTTTAAAACATTTTGCATCAAAGTTTACATTCAATTGTTTGGAGAATCTTTTTTTTTTTTTTTTTTTTTTTTTTTACATGCAATCCAGTTTTTATTGTTAAAATTAAATTTTAATTAAATTAAATGTTTTTATGAATATATTTATATTTGAATTTCTAAAATATTTAAGATATTGCTTTAAGATTTACATAAGTTGACTGACAAATAATATTGGCACAATTAAATGTACATAAATTAACTGACAAGTAGGAATTAGCTCAACTAAATGTACATGCATCTATTGACAAATAGGGATCGGCGCAATTAAATATATAAAAAAAAGGGAGAGACTACAGTAGCGCCAACAATTTTTTATAATAACAATTGGTTAATAATACCAGTTTAAGATATTAGCAGATAAGTCAGTAATGTCATTAAAAGTAGTTTTTTTTTTAAAATTAAGCATCACTTTTATCACATACAATAAGAGTAGGGATCTCATTGCTTTTTATTCCTTGGTGTTGATTCTCTAGAATTTGATGGATTTTGGTTAGGGGTGTACCGGATTGGAATTTAGAATTCCAGCCGGAACCGGATTTGCCAAAGTTGTTAAAAAAATTCTAGCTATAATTTATATATATGTATATGTATATGAAATATTTACTGTAATAGACATCCTATACTTTTTAACTTTTTAAAAGTTAGCAAACATTAAAAATGAGATAATTGTCAGAGGCAGATTTTTTCATGAAAAAAAAAAATTGTTGCCCAAAACCTTATGTACCGCAGCATTTCTAAACTTTTAGAAATCGTTAGAATTAGAAATTGTTACATTAGTGATTACTGCAAATAAAATTAAGCAAAGCTATAGATATGCCTAATTTTACTATGGTCTAAAATAATTTTATTTTGTTGCTTGTTGCACTTTCGCATGGAGACTTGCTCAAAGTAATGAGTTTATATAAAATTCTTTTTGGGATGTCAAAGAAATGGATAAATTGATTGGTGTTAGAGTGTTAATTGCTTGTTTTGCATGCTTTCATAATCGTATAAGATATATAGAACTGAAAAGTTGTATTAAAAATGTAATGTATTTGCATAATAAATGCACTAGGGATTTTTCTGGTTATTTCTTTTGGGTTTTTCTGATTTTTTGAACATTCCGAATTTCAATAATATTTTAACAATATATATTTTTAAACTTTTCTTGTTAAAAACTTTTACAACAAATAAGTTTCAAAAAAATTAGAAATTCTTCAGCTTAACCTGTTAACAGTCCATGGTGTAATATTATGCAAACTAAAAGTGGTTTCTACATGTTCGTGTCGTAATATTACAGTTTTGTGCATCTCTTTATATTTCCTTCTTGTTCATCAGTAATTATATGTTTACTTGTCACAAAAATTATTACTAGATAATAACAGAGCCTTTGTTTCAATAATTGTTTTTTAAACATGTTCAATTTAATTTTGAATTTGACAAATAAGGAAGTTCTTTCAGTGCAAAAATAATTATCGAAAAGTAAACATTTACTCAAGAAAAGACATAATTTTATACATTTGATAAATTAATAATGAAAAGATATATTTAATGAATGATTATTCAAAATAATAATAAAAGGTTAATGCTCAAAGAAGGTGTGCGGTATGTTACAAATACAATATTCAAAAAGATTTAGGATATGAATATGTAGAACGTGATAAATATGTAGGACTTTAGCAGCTCCTTGCTTTTTACAAATATGATACAAAAAGTGAATGTTAGTAAATTCTTTTTTAAAATTTTATGTTTATGTAGTATGATGATTTATATATTCTTAAACTTGAATAATAACATTTTGTAGTGTTAAAAATAGTTAAAAAATTTTTTTTATACTATTAGTTAAAAAACACCATTAAATTAAAAAAAAAAAAGCTGGACTAATCGAAACTGTTTTTTAAAAAAACACCGGACTGTTTAAGGGTTAAAGCTAAAGTGAGACAATTAATATATGGGAAATGGGAATTAAGATTTTTTTTTTTTTTTTTTGGTTTTTTGTTTTGTATTTTAACAAGCTTTAAAGATTTTTTAAAAATTTAATTCAAAAGCTTTTCTTTTTACTTTTGTTTTTATGCGAGGCTCTTAGTTTCACAAAATTAAAGAGTCTAGAATTTTTTTTTCAGATTTAAAACAACAATTTTAATGTATTTATGTTGCTATTTAAAGTTAATTTATTAGTTTTAATAGTATTTAAAATTAGTTTAAAGTACTATTTTATATAATTTTCACAAATGTTACAGATATAAAACAACAGCTTACAAATATTTTTATGCTATTTAAAATTTAGTTTGTAATGATTTTGGTTACAAGGGTGCTCTGATTGTTAAATCCCTACTTTTGATATGATCAACATGTTTGTGGGATCCGAGAATAAAAATTGTTTTAAAAAGTCGTTATTTTGGTCTTTACAAAAGTTATCAAAATTTAAATGTTGTGTTTAAGGAAATAAATTTGTTTTATAATTCATTAGTTTTAATAGCCTCTCTATTTTTAGGGTTTCTACAAGGTCCTTGGAAAAGGAATTCTTCCAAAGCAGCCTGTGATCGTTAAAGCTAAGTTTTTTAGTCGCAAAGCTGAAGAGAAAATCAAGAGTGTTGGTGGAACTTGTGTGTTAACAGCATAAGAATCCCACTAAATATATTTTGCTTTTTTTCTTTCTAAACCGAGATTAGCCACTTGACTGACTTTGTGCCCTCTATTGATATCGTTAAATTTGTAATATTTATCAAAAACTATCAGGAAATATGACAAAACAAACAACCTTTAATAAATAAGACAAAATAATAGCGTAAAAAATAATTAAAATTAAAGTAGAAATCAATTTTATGCAACAAAAATATCCTCATCGAATGCTTAAAAACACTTTTTGTTGGTCTGTGTGTGTGCCGCAAGTTAAAATTGTAACTTACTATCTTAATTAGGGGTGTCCCCAGATAACATCTTTTTATTCGACCAGAAATAGAAATGCAGTCTGTTTAAAAACTATCCGGCCGGATAATGTCATTTAAATACTAATGTATATCGCACAGATGTGGTGAGTGCAAGATTAAAAACTGTAAAAACTCATTTGCGCGCGTAATTAAAATAATAAGAGTTTTTGTATTTACCCCACATGGTCAATTAGACTATCGTTTATTGTACACATACCATATTTGTGCATTATAAACTAGGTAAAAACACGTTTATCTGCCTACCTATCTCAATTTGACCAAAATTTGTACTTACCATATCTGTGCACTATGCCATCAATATTTTGTTATGACCAAATAATACCGTGATAAACTTTCAAAATGGCAAGTTTTGATATCTTAGCAATATGCATTCCACAAGAGAGCAGATGTTAATTAGCACGATTCTACTTCAGTCATGCAAAATAAATAATTTAGTTTCAAATTATCCGCATAGATTGCCTTTTTTCGAAATTCCGAATATTTTTTTCCACTTTTAGTTTCGGATAACTAAAACTTTTCCATTCATACATATTTAGGTGTATATACAGTATTGGACAAAACATTTGCAACCAACATCGAACAATGCTAAAAAGTGTTCCTAATTTTACATGTCTTAAAAATGAAAGGAACTATACTACCACAGCAAACAGTCTAGAGTCATAGCATGCCATGACATGAGCAATCAGCTTATGCAGAATTACGTTGACAAGTGCCATTTTGCAGCGGAAAAAACAAGTGCAACTCTTTTGGTTTGTTTCAATTTCTTAAGTCTGGTCCGTGTCAACGTCACGGAAGTTTTTTAATAATTAAAGGCAGTTTCCAGAAGAAGTATTCAAAAGCATCGAAAAAAAGCATCTAGAATCTTCCAGAACATGTTCACACAGGTTCATTCTGCTATATAAGAGACGTAAAATTCAGTCAGTATATGGAAGGCAATCAGTCAGTATTATCAAGACAGTTTATCGAAGTGAGTTTTATCAAAGTTTTTTTTATTAAAGAGCATCAATACAAGAAGTGAAATACAACAAGTGTTTCATTATATCAATACAGTCCACATCCAACCAAGACGTTGTGTTCCACAGAGTATTATTGTATCATCACAATGTAAATGTAAGTCTTGAGAAGCGTGATTATTTATTTTTATTATTTTTATGACCTCAAGTGCAAAAATGGCTCCCGACAGTCTTGGATTGGAACTAAGAAAGAAAATTATTAGCGATTACGAAAGTGGAATGTCACAAAAAGCTATTTGTGATAAATATCGCGTGAAAAAATAGACCGTATCAAGACTATGTTCCAAATATCGTTCTACGGGGAAGTTGGCAACAGATAACAAAGGTGGAAGGTCGCGTTCCACTACTTCTTAAGAGAATTCTATGATCGTCAGATCCGTCAAGAAGGATCCCTGGATATCATCAGTCGAGATACAAAAGCAATTAGAGCTGACTGTATCGTACCGAGCAATCAGACGACGTGCAGTTGAAGCCGGATTGTTTTCTCGACGCCCTGCAAAGAAACCGCTGATTTCACTAAAGAACCAGAAGAAAAGACTCCTGTTTGCTACATCTCATATTGACTGGAATGTGCAGAAATGGCGAACTGTCCTGTTCAGTGATGAATCGAAGTTCAACATCATTGGGAGCATTTGCCGTGTACGTCGACCGGCCGGAAAACGACTCGGTTTACCTTACTGCTAAAAGACCGTGAAGCATGGTGGAGGCAATGTAATGGTCAAGGGGTGTTTTTCTGCTAACGTTCTAGGCCCAATACATCGAATCGATGGAATAATGGACCGTTTCATGTATAAAAATGTTCTGAAAAATGTTATGTTACCTCATGCTGAATGGAATATGCCAATAAAATAGATTTTTCAGCAAGACAACGATCCGAAACACACTGCAAAAGTAGTCAAGCAGTAGTTTCAAGACAACCACCTATAGGTGATGAATTGCCGCCTCAATCTCCGGATCTCAACCCTATCAAGAACCTGTGGGAGATCGTCAACTGCAGAATTAATCGTGAAGGTGTTCGTAATAAGGATCAACTGTTTGAACAAATCCAAAAGGCCTGGGCAGCAATTCCACAAAGTTTCATTGATCACCTGATCGAATCTATGCTTTGAAGATGCAAGGCTGTGATCAAGGATGTGAATGTGCATAAAGGGATGAATGAAACATGTTTGTTATGTAACGGTAGCTTTGAAAAGTGTCTATCACTTTCAGTAAAAAAATTAAACAATTTTTTAAAAACATTTTACTCCAAAACAAAGACGTGTTACTCCATTAAACATTTGAAAAATAAGCTCGTAGAATATTACGGTAATCATATATTTTTTGGAGAAGCACCAGGTCAACAAAATCTTATTTGCTTCAAATGTCTTTGAAGCAACTAATATTGACTTGGTTCATTGTGGAAAATTTTTAGAAAAAAGACAAAAAAACAAACATCCAATGACATCACTGCAGCCGCAGCAAAAATCATAAAGAACGGCATCAGAGAAATTTCTTGTAATAAATTTAACCATCCTATAATAAATCAAATGGACAATTTAAATTATGCCAAAAACTGGGTTCCAGCAAGCGTTCTCAACTTTATAAAGTTCTTGATTTCATCAGAACTGAAGCAAGTCAGTATTGTTCAGTGCATTGCTCAATGCTCTAGACCAAAGGCAATTATTAAATCGATTCTTTTTGGGATTGGAGTGGACATTGACAAATTATTTTCAACAAAATGGCTTGTTGATCATCTTTCTTGGATTGTGACTTGGATTGTGACTTGGGTGTTTCTTCTGATGAAGTGGATTTCACACACTCATGATTTTTCTTGGAGCATTGGTAAGCTAATGTCTGGATCTGGACTTGAGAAGTCTTCAAAGAAATGAATGCAGAGCATACTGTTCAACATATGTTTTTAGGAAAGGCAGTTGCTAAATCTCTTAGAGCTCACATCTTAATTCAAAGTGTTTTAACGGTTTGTTTAATGGATTCATTAATAGAAGAAAGTAGCATTGATCTTGCTGGTTTTATACCTGCCTATCAAAATGCAATGAACAATCATGGTATGAACAAGGAAAAACTAATTGAGTTGGGAAATAGTGATGTTTTTAAACGAACTAAGAGTGTATTATCTGCTTTTATTGAGAAAAAAAAAAGTTGTATTGCATACAGCCGCATTATGACTTCAATATATGGAATATATTGATGCCGTGAAAGAATTTATTTGTGCAGAAAAGACTTCAAATTGGTATTTACATCTGCAAACCGTGAAGGTAATGCTGAATTTTTTGCAGCAACTGGTCATGTAAATTATGCCAAAAGTGCTAGTATGTATTTTCAAGAAATGTTAACTCTTTCAGACACTAACTCTTGGCTTTGTAATAGGTTTATAGAAGGTGAACATGCAGTTCGAAGAACAAGTAGATATTGGGGTGGACTATGGTTAGATCTTGTGATTGAACAAACGCTTATGTGGTCCCTTAAAACTAGTTAACAAGAGACCGTGGTCTCAAAGAGAATGTTCGCCTCCTTTGGGTTTTAAGTATTAATTACATAGCTGCTGTTCATGACGCAATGACAAATCTTACAGGTGTTAAAACTGGAACTAGTGACTAGCATCTAGAAATGGGGTTCACTCGTAGATTAAACGATTATGAAGATTTCGAAAAATTTTATGGCTGGTTCGAAACAAGAAATTTTTTTGAATACGAAGATACCTTCACTCGTTATCGAGTGAGTCCTTTTCAGAATTTGAAAAAGATAATATAAGTTGTGAAAATTCAGAAGCCATTGGAATAAATATTGAAACATTATTATAATAACTGAAATGTTTTTATTGTGTATTATTATAAGGAAAATGCAATAAATAACATTATTAATAATAAAAACTTATAATCGCAAAGTTGAACTAATGTCGAAAAAAATGAGAAAAAAAAGGTCCACCAAAAAAGTTCCGAATCTTTAAATGTATAGGGCCTAGCGCTATAGCCCTCCCTAGTAAGCCACAGCACCAATATTATTACGTTATGAGTTAAGATAATATTTTACTTAGCATTAAATTCTATTTCTAACGGTATATCATGCTTACGATTTCAAAGAAAAACAATATTTTTTCAAAAACGTCGTAATTTCCACTTTAGGCGACCATAACTCACGAACCATATATTTTTTAAACTTTGCGTGAGCAAGCTTTTTACTTAGCATTTAATTATTTTTCAAATGATATATAAAACTTATAATTTTGGCAATATAAAAAAATGGTCATTATGCCCAAACTTTTAATTGAAAAATAGGCTTAAAATGGCATTTCCTGTTCTCAAAAACACAGGGCTTTTTTTTTGGTCGTTGCTTTTTTTTTTTTTTAAGTTGATTAAGGTGCCCCAAGAAGTCCTTACGGTCTTATCACAGAGTACCGCGGAAGAGCATTAAATAGGAAGTTCACGCCTCCTTGCTGACATGCTAACTAACCTAGGCTGTATCCTCTGCATTTTCGGAAGATAGTTTTCACTATTTAGCAGAAAAAGCCATCAAGGCTAGAAATGTAAATTTCTCCACGTTGGGGTAAATGAGTGATAAACATATATAATTTTAGTATTTCAATAAAATCCGGGACACCTCCAAATTAATAGGCATATTACATTTTATTGTAGTCCGCAGGAAGATTTATTGCGTTTTTTCATGTACAATTTAATCG